CCCCCCCCCGACAGCCATTTGAATAATTTATTATGAGTTTATTTTGCACTCTAATTGAGCTACATACTGCATGGTAGAGCATGATAGATGCACTGTGGATACTTTGTCTATCTATTGGATTAAAATACAGTTTTCAGTGATGCATTTGGAACTGGGCACCTGACTTCCCTTGATATTCACTGCAGCTGGCTTCCTGACTGACTTCAGTGTTCTTAGAAATTACATCCATATATTCCATGCATGTCACAAACCATTATTTTATTTTTTAGACTGCTTGTCGTGCATTTAACAATTTCACTGAAAGAAACATAATAATCCAAAATCAATCTGTATTTTGTTAGCTAATATTGAGAGAGATATGTAAAGACCCTAGCCCTGAGGCACTTAAAATATAAATAGATTAAACAAACTGGATTTTGCAAGAGGAGTATTGTTATAGAAGCATAGTAATCCTTGTTCTGTGACGTAGTTTTTTCCACTACTTGGAAGCATTATTTGTTGTTGAGTAGAGGATATAGGTTTTAATAAACTATCTACAAGTTTGCTGAAAATTTACACAATTTTGTATCTGGGTATTTTTACAATCATAAAATAGATTAGATTAGCTTCTTTGTGCCTATTTATGAGTAACAACTGTATTGCAGGTGTGACTGCAACTATAAAATGGCTTTAACTGCATCTTTGCCCTCTGTCCTTTTCTCTTGACACCTAGAATGCTAGGCGTTCTGAAACATCATCCAATTTATTTCAGTTTGGGAAGTGAAACAAAATTTCCTGTTCCCAGTATCAAGAACTATTTCACTCTCCAAAATAGAGTTCCTTTCCAAAATTAACTAGGCTTGAGGCACAGAGACTTAGAGTACAGTCCAAGGGTAATGCCCGACTTAAATTAGTAAATTAGTCTCATACAGTAATTCCAATTTTTCTCTCCCTTTTTAGACCTGGACAGATGAAATAATAGTAAGCCTTATGTATATGAAATAATAGTAAGTCTTATGAATTAAATAAACCACAAAACCTCTGTCAATGAAAATACTGTCTAAACCAGCAGAGAAAATAAGATACACAGAAGAGATAATAGGTAGAAACTGCTGAAATTCCTCATGGGTTATAGCTAATAAGGATTCCAGGCTGCTGAGACTGCTTTACAGTAGCTCATTTCACTCGTGTCATTTTTCTAGAATGTGGCCATCTTGGACCCATCCCAGTAACACCTTTCTGTCATATCACACAGTTATATTTTCTTTATATGTTTACAGAGATCTCTTGATACATAAACAAAAATCTTAACTTGGGATGACTGTTCAAATTGTTGAAGTAATATTGGCATTGGTTCCAGTAACAGTCTTGCAGAACTATTGCAAGATGCTGCTAACTCATTTTTTCAATTGACTTTTATTTTCCAGATTTAATTGTAGTCGTTGCTTCCATGATAGTTCTTTGTGTGGGCTCTAAAGGTCAAGTCTTTGCAACCTCCGCTATCAGGTAATTATATGCAATAAAAGAAAATAGTGCTGAGTAAGGTGATTTTTTTTTTCTTTTTTTACCTCCTATTTCAATTCTTGTAGGAGAAAACAAGTCACTGCTCAGAGAGTCATGTAACAGAGCAGATCACCAATCATGTATGGATGTGAAACAGTCATCCCATTAAGTAAAGGGGAAATAAAATTTTGTGTGTGTTGTCTGGTCATAATGCGTTTATGTCTGGTGGGGGTAGAGGTGCACACACCCCTGCCCCCTTTCCCCTGACTAGGTGGGTTCTACCCAAATCCTATTTTAGTTTCTTGGCTCAGTTTTATAGCAATGCTTTCATGCTTCAAGTCTTTGACATCTTCAAGGTGCTTCTTCATAAAAGTTAGTGGTTGTGAATTCCTGAAGGACTGAATCTACCTTGTGCTCAGGATGGTCACGCTACTTGGTTTTCTTGAATGAGAGAGTACACGGCAGTGTACTGTGCTCACTAGCTGCAGTGGTGGTCTAGAATTGTAGTGACTCTCTTAAAAAGAGTATTTTAAAATATTATTGAACTGTCTAGTTCAAATTGCCTATGCAATTCCTCAAAGGTGAGGAATTCAGATCTTTAGTTAACTGTTTCTGTATGTTGTTTCCCATCCTGGTGAGCAGGTCAAATATGAGTTGATGATTTCTAAAGCATTCACACTTTGTCTCCAAAATTTCTGAATCCTTGAGTTATTCTCACTAGCCATGTATACAAAGGTCGGTCCTCCTGTGCAATCTCCCAATCCTGTCTTCTACCTTTCATCTTGTTTGTTATGGTGAATGGATTAAAAAGAGACAGGCTGCTAGGTCTAACATGAAATACTATGTGTATGTGTCAAAACGGTTCTTTGGAAGAGACAGACTTCTCCCTGCTTCTGTTTCTTCTCTTGTATGTTTAGTCTCTTCATTCATTTAAAAATTTATTCCAGGGGCATCCGTTTTCTGCAGATTTTACGAATGCTGCATGTTGACCGTCAGGGTGGTACGTGGAGGCTGCTGGGATCAGTAGTGTTCATACACAGACAAGTAAGTTTTGAGTATTCTGAGTGGTGGTGTAATAATTGATGCAAAAGTCCTTATATTCAGAACAGCATATAAGCAGACATGCTGATGATGTCAAATATATTTAGTGTGGTGGCATGGAGTCATTTATTTTTACCAGGTATGGTTGTTCTGACTTGTTCAAGGGACAAAAAGTTCCTAAAAGATCAAAAATATTCACCTCCACTTTCACAAACTTTTGACTTCTAGTTGAACTTAACCACAGACAATGAGACTTCTGAAAAGTAGTCTGAATATTTCTAAAAATATATATCTAAATTCCAAAGTTATTTTGAATGTGACACTGTTTTAAAAAATTACCCAACTACTTTTTGGTGACCGAAAGGTTAATGAGTCATCCTTGCAAGTGAGGAGGTTGTTTTGACTCCATGTTTGAAATGTGCATGCTGGATCACGTCATCAGCTGTGGTCTAAATTCTTTCGCCATAGAGCTCAGTGGATATTTGTTAATTTGCACAACCAGCAGTCGGTGTCAATGTTTATTAATTGCTGAAATTACATTTTTCTGTTCCAATTATCTTTTAAAAAATATCAGTAATAAGTAATTTAAGTGTCTCAACAATATCATAATGCTGTTATTTTCATTCTCTTTGCAGGAACTGATAACTACTCTCTACATTGGATTTCTGGGCCTGATTTTTTCCTCTTATTTTGTGTACCTGGCTGAAAAAGATGCTGTAAATGATTCTGGAGAAACAGAATTTGGCAGCTATGCAGATGCCCTGTGGTGGGGAGTGGTAAGTATAGCAATTTCACGTGTACTAAAAGTAGTTAACACCTTCAAATGTGGAGTAAAGTTCAAGCAAGCGTGGAGTAAGAACAGCACTTTGAAATGGACTCTTATTACTTCAGTACACTTTCTGGTTTTGTAATTCCATGAAACTGAGAAAGCACTATAGATGATCAGTAGTTCTATTTGATGTTTATAGTCTTATGTGATCCAAAGTGATCAAATTATGTATACAAGATGTAGAAACATCTATTCTTATTTCATTATCCTGTCTTCCCTTCTGTTTATAGTGATTACTTCTTGCTACCTTTCTTTTGGTAGGGTTCAATCTTCTAAGGTAGTAAGAGTCTTGCTAAATCAGGGCTAGCATTTTGGGTGTTTGTATGTGTGTTTGGGGTAGGTTTTTTTTTTTTTTTTAAAAACAAAACAAAACAAAACAAAACAAACTCAACAGGTATTTATGATTTGCAATTTGGCCTGGGACAGTAATTCCTTGTTTATTCAGAATGGACTAATTCCAGAACAAGTTGCTTCTGAGATACTTACGAAATCCAGGCACAGGACTGTTTTAAAGTGATTATATTGCTTTGGAATCCACTCAGTATCCTTATGTGGCATTTGTCTGTGCTATGTCAACATACCATCTTGCTCAGTGTTTTCTCAGGTTTCTGTAAGGTTCTGCCATACTTAGTGATATAGATGTATCTTTACTTCTGCTAATAAAGTTCTTGACGTGGTTTAGGCCCAGCCGGAAGCTGAGCGCCACGCAGCCGCTCACTCACTCCTTCCCCAGCGGGACGGGGAGGAGAACGGGAAAAAACCAACGGCAAAAGCATGAGGACTGGGATAAGGGCAGTTTACTGGGACAGCAAGGGAGAGGGAAACAATCAACAACAGTGCTGATAACAGATATTCACAATGGGTGATAACAGAGAACAACTTACTGAACCAACAACCGACCAACCGAGCACACACTCAGCCAGTCCCGGAACCTTGCCGAAACTGCGCCGCCCCTCCCCTACCCGACTGGCCCCCTTTTATGGTAAGCATGACGTCACATGGCATGGAATAGCCCCCCGGCCACCTTGGGTCACCTGTCCTGGCTCCTTGTGAAATTAACTCTGTCCTTGCCAGAACCAGGACAGTTCTGCTTTCTTGCTGTTGCTAGTGACAATTGTCTCTCTTTTAATTTATTATATGTACTTACTAGTTTGGCAGCTCTATTCTGAGATTATATTTTAGTAAATTTTTAATTTTGTTGCTTCTGCTAGTAATAATTATTTTCTCGCATGATATGCAAATATTAGGTTGGCTACTCTGTTCTGGGATTTCCCGTCTGTGATTGTTTCCCTTTCCTTTTCCTATTACAGGTCAAAGGAAGGTACTTTTTGGAAGCTGTTTTTCCTTATCATTAGCGTTCAAGCAATGACTTGGTTTTATCTGCTTTAATTGTATGTAGCTTAATCAAACAAGCTGTCATCTTTAAGTGCTACAGATCTTTAAAATGCATAGGCGTCGCTAATGATTCCATGCTTGCATTTTCAAGATGTGCTGATTTTCTAGAGTCTTCTCTTTGCTGTTTTAAATGAAAAGACTTTTTTTTTCTTCATTAAAAATGAGACTACTAGTAAGTCTTGTGTACAAGAACAATAGGGCTAACACCTCTGTTTCACTAATAAAACATTTTTTTTTAAGAAGTATTTTTAATAAACCTCAGTGTGTGTGTGCTTATATAGTCTTCTCTCTACAAAGAGTACCACTTGCTGTTTCAGGAAGGAAAGATCTACTGATGAGCAGGTTTCTGGTGCTGAAATGCATATGTAGCCTTTTTTTGAATCCAGTAGGTTTTGTTTAGGTTTCTACTAAGATCTGCTGCAGAATTTTTTCCTCTTGCTGTCTGCCATGGTTAAATAAAGCCTCTGTTAAGATCAGAAACTTGCTGTGTAGCACAAGGAAGTGGCTTTCTGCAAGTAGCTTTTGCAATGCTTTCATGTCATCATGGCATTTTTATTTTCCAGCACAGCGGTCAGATGACTGTGTAATTAATAGTGGCAGATGTAGCTGCATTTTAAAACGCATGCTGTCATTGACATCGGCATTAAAAATTGAGTGTGTGACAGACCAGACTGGCTTACTGAAAATACAGTAAAGCCTTCCACAGAAGCGATACAATCTGTCAGGATATTGAAATATTCTCTTTTCAGGGAATTATTGCTCAGTTAATAGACAAGCCAGTTATTTTATCTTTCTAATTACAACAAACTTATTTAATCAATAAGTTTAATTATGATAATATTCTTTCTCTGTTACAACTTCTATTATGTTGTAGCATGCCACTTGAAGTGTGAGACTGCATTCAAAGAACCCATAGTGTAATTTCTTTAATATTAAAAATAGAATTCAGTGTCTTTGTTCTTCTCTGAACACAGATGCTATACTTGTGCTCACTGCTAAAAGGATTTAGCAAAACAAAACTGAAATGGATTCAGATCTGTCCATTTCTGGTGTTTTGATACTGTAATATTCTTCATGCTTTCGGCTAGGTTACTTTCTGTAAAGTTAAGGCAATAACTGGGAGGTCATTAAGTATCAGGATGCTTCCTCATGAAGGTCTCAAACTCACACAGAAACTTTCTCAAAGTGTGAGGTCTCAAAACTTTCGGTTACATTTAACCAGAATTTTCAGAATCACTTAAACACCACAAATTCTGGTCACTGAAAACCTCAGTCTGTTTTGAACTGGACACACAGAAGAGGATAATTCGCAGCTCCTATCTCAGAGACAAATCATAGTTATGTGGTCTGTCTGGCAGCATGGCTGATACTGCACTCTGAAAGTGCACTTACCTTATGTAGTAGAGAACACTTCTAAAAGTACTTGATAAAGTTTTCACAGCCCCTTTCTCACTCTACAACATGACACTTTTTTGTTATCTCAGCATATGCTTACACTACTAAACAAGTTTTTTGGGTAGCATAGCATAAAGTAAACCATAGAAAAGGTCTGTGTTACCACAACTAAACTGCATCTGGAATAGGGTACTTTTATATTACTATGCTTTGCTGACTATAGACATACCCATAGGGTGCATAACTTTTAATTAAATGTTCTTCATTGTCATTGTTGTTATTTATAAATCTATATTGCTTTTCCATTTCCTTATGCAAATTGGCCTCCTGGGCTTTAATTGAATTTCCTTGAGAACTCTGGCTGTAGCTATATGCTGTTCCAGTTTATGGGCTTCTTGAAGAAACCTAAGGTTACCTTGTGGCATAGAGTAATGATTTGTCTGTATTATTACTGGTTTTGAATGCAGTGCCTGTTGTATAAATAATTCTGCCAATGGCTGCATATCTGTGTGTCTTTCAAAAGACAAGTTTAATATTTGCAAGTAAAATAGAAGTAACATGATGCATCTTTCAGCTCCCCAGTGCAAGTATTCAAAATTAGTCTGCGTATGTTGTCCTTCATGTCTAGACTAACACTCTTAAAAGACCTGGTATAGATTCTGGACAATAAAAAGAAGAATTTTTTTTTTTTTTTAAACAAAAAGATAGTTCAAAAAACCAAGATACTAAATATTCTCACCAAATCTGTGAAAGATGACCACCTTCAGGGAATGTTATCGACTCACTGTCTCTGGGGTTTTTTTATGTGTGTGGTTTTTGGGGTTTTGGTTTGGTTGGGGTTTTTTTTTTTTTGGCATCATCCCCCCCATGTGTCGTCCCCCCCCCGCAAGCATTAAATTCAGTCATGCCTCAGGCAGACTGAGGGGACCCCTCCTTTTGATATCCACTGAATGAGACACAATTTCCAACCTTCACATCTGAACCAACATCCTTCAGGAAAACCATTATGTGGATTGTGCTAGCGGTCTCTTTGATCATGAACATTATTTGCCACAAGCAATTATTGAATATAGACATGCATGGATGTTACATGGTGCCTGTTTCTTTGAATTGGTTTGAATTCGATCAAGCAACTGTCTGCAAGTACCAGCTTAGTTAAGAGTTTCTTGTTCCTTTAATTCATCGATATATGCTTTATCACCAAGGACCTAATTCAACAAAACATTGATAAGTCTCCTTACTCCTAAGCATACATAAAACCATGTTCCTATTTAGCAAAGCCTTTCAATATGTGTTTAATGTAAATTGAAAATCGAAATTGCGGGAAAGCTTTGCTGAAAAGTTACAGGAAAGGCCACTCGAAACTACATACGCATGGAATTTATGCTACATTAGAGCAAATCTCATTTAATTTATAAATAGTTGAACACAAATATTGAAAAATTGCCACATAAAAGAGATTTTGTGTTATTCAGAACCCTTTTTTTCCCCTTTCTAAATTGAAAAAGCTGTTGAGGACTGTACACTGACTTCAATATTAGACAGGAGGAGACACTTCATTTTTATTTCTTTTGTGGTTTACAAGTCAAGAATACCAACTATAGGCCTGTTATATCCTTCCCTCCCCAAAGTTTTGGGATGAAGTGTTTGGATTTTTTTGGGAGGGAGTTGGTTATTTTAAGAATTTCTGGAGCGGGGGGTCAGAAGATGTAAGGGTTAGTGTTTTAAATTTATTTTTGTATGCAATCTCTGCATCTGGCAACTGCCTTCTCATCTCTGAGCTTTAATTCCATGACCAGTTCCACCTACATTTTGTTCTCATTTAATAAAGATCTGTGGGGTAGGTGTGGAGAAACCTTTTAAAATTCTTACTTACAAAGTGCAGATATAGATATTCTTGTATCTAGAGAACACTCTTGGGACTTACTTTCTTAACTCCCAAATATTTAAACCTTTATCAAAAGATATGAAGGAGCTAGGAAAAAATTGTATCTAGAAGAATCCAGAAATTTTCAACAGTAGCTTTGCATTTGATGAAACAAAAGTAAAGTAAAATATAGATAATTTTCTATGTCAGGATCTAGGAAAAATAATTACAATAAAGGAATTTAGCTTTCATTTAAATTTCAATAATTAACACAAATTGTGCTCCTGTTG